GGGGGGGGGGTGGAGATGGGAGCGGGGGGGGGGTGTGGGGGGGGGGGGGGGAGGAGAGCAGCACTCACTCACTCAGTCAGTCCCCTGAGACCACAACAGACTGGAACCACGGACACACTTACAGAGCAGTCACGAAACACACTGACATACACTGACGTACACTGCAGCCCCTTCTCACCTTGTCCTTATTGTTGAGAAGCACGGGTAAACATGCTGCAGAGTATTACTGCAGCTGAGTTTATACAGCTTAACAATCACCACAGTATCCTAGTTTAGATGAAGCCGATGAAGTGAAGTGAAATCACTGGCACAGCTTCAACACTGCTTTATTTATTTTTATTTTGGGGAATTTTTGGAGCATGTCGGAGAGACGTGGCTACAGAAGATGTATTATTTGTGCCAAGTGAGCTCAGCTCTCAAAAGCATCAAGGGGATAGATGATAACAGGGCATCAATATTCATAGCCCACCATTAAGTTATGAAGAATTGATGAAGCACTTTTAGTCTGATTCAGCCTCTCTTCCCCCAAACACATGTTTTTTTTTTCACTTTTTTTGTTTTAGGTCAAGTTTGAATTCTACTGTTAGATGGAAGATTTTAAATTGTGCCAAATTGTGCTTCTTAAAAAATAGTTATATTAATATGTATATCTACATTTTTCCCACAATATTTATGTTCAAATATCCACATCTTGATTACTGCATGCAGAGAAAATGTAAACTGATAGTTCCAGGTCAACATTTGAACTATTAAATCCCAGCCGTGATCTAAAAAAAGCCCTCGCTCCTAGCAATAAGCTTCACACCATACTGAACAAATGGTTGCAGACATTCTAGTGCGTGCTTTATTGTATTTGTTCAGCCCACGTCACAGCAACAGGCCGGGTTGTTTTAGTGAGCGCTGCCACCTGGTGGACAAATAGTGAATTCAATAATTTTCTACAAGCGAACATGGATAAGGATGTTTGTGGGTTTCACGACATGATCTCTTTAATTACTCTAAACCGCAGCTAAATAGAATTCCAGATTTGATACGATGTGGCCTGATTTTAAACTTAAATTAAATATGAAACAAAACTTACTATATACGTACATTTGTACTGACAACCATTTTGGCATTAGTGTGCCAGTTATTTGAGTACTATTTGATGATATGTGCCAGAGACTCTTCACTTTACATCACTGCATGATGGACAATACCAGGATCAGAACGGGCTGAGGCAAAAGTTATTCAAATTAGTTTAAAAAAATGTCAAGTGAGTAAGTGATCAGAGCAGTAGAACATTATATACCAACTTTCTTCCACTTAAAAATACCATATACACTGTAGCATAAACGATTCTCTCTGATAGCAATACAAACATGAGTAACTCCATAAAAAATTAAATAAAAACAACACAGTCTTAGGCAAAAACATGATTTTACGCCAATTTGTTTTGAAAAAAAAAACTTGTTAGTGCTACCCTCTGAGACATAATGCATGCTGGGAACATATGTTCAAGAGAGATAAAGATATTTTTTTGCGACCAGATGCCTGAGGGAGACGTGATCACTACCCCTCCCAAAACTAGTCTGACATGGATCCCAGCAGCTCGTAAGAAACTGCGGAACACAAACTTTCCTATTCTTCAAACTTCTGAAGCAATTAACTGGAGATTTTAACCTATAAAAACAACTGTGAGAAACAACAGCCATCTACTGAAACAATGAGAATATGATGTCATGTTAGTACACTTGTGCTCTCTGATGCCAATTTCAGTGCAAGACATTCTTATATTTACTATTATATATATATATATATATATGAAATTGAAAGCAACAAGGCATTTGATTGAACGACTCAAAATTTGTTTTTTCCACTCACATTATTTCCACGTAGTCCATGGTTGAGAACATCCACAGTCCAAGCAAGGTGACAGGACCACAGACACAGACATTTAAAGAGAGAGCAGAGAGTCAGTTCATACTTAGTAGGAGGCTATGGTTTTGAATAATAATTAAATAATCTGTCTATATGTTTTTAAAACAAATTTAAAGAAAATGTATATCTTAAAAACAAAATAAAATTCAAATTTTCTCCACATATCCTCCATTGAAGTTGAAATACTTCTGCAGGCAGTGTTTCCACTGACGAATACCATATATGTCGGGAATTTTCAAATTTTAGTTCAGTTATGGAGGGAAAAAATCTAATGCAGGTAGATCAACTTTTAATAATTAAAAATAAATTCAAGTTTGGTTAAAATAAATTATGTTTGCTTTGATTTTAAAATCAATCAATCAATCAAGCAAATAAGACACAGAGATTCGATACTTGTCAAAGATATGAATAACAAAACTAATCAAAATAGTTGTAATTTAAATATTTGTCTCAAAGCGTTTTGGTGTACGTTACATATAAATACACACACAGAGAGAGAGAGAGAGATTATACATATAGCTATGACTGATAAAAGTTTGACAAACATTAATTCCGAACCCACCAAAGATGTTTTCAGCGGCATATCTGTGGGCCCTGACCCACTGTTTGGGTTCGACAACACTACAGACATTGCTAGGCTAGTAAAGGTAGTTTACCATTGACGTTTGAATCAAAATTTCTGATTCTGCATTTTATCCCGTGAAGAAAGACAACATGAATTTACAGATTTACTTTAGTCTGTGTAGGTAACAGCACAAATCTCTCCAAACCAGGTCGTCTTTAATCCTTCTACAGAACACCGAGCTGACAACTTCACACAAACAAACTGCTGCCGTCGTGAGGACGACAACAAACGACTGTCTGAGTGAAAAAAAGGTGTGCGATACAAACAGCAGTCATACCTGAGCGGGCACCTGTCTCCTCTCTCTGATACTCTCCTCCTTCACTTTGGACATGGACACCTAATTCCGGTGTTTCCCGTCTCGGCAACTTGGAGAGAGTCGCTCAGGTTTCCTCGGAGAGGCGGTGACGCAGCTTACAATGACGCAGCAGCGGCGAGCGGGGTGGAGATCTGAGGTGGGACCAGAACTGATGACTTCTCACTTCTGACATACAGGAGGGAACTGTGGTTGCCATGTCCGATAATTATAAGCGACTTTGGACATGTTTTAGGCTGTAAATACGCTTAGAAATATCGATACCCTCGCGTCGCGACTGTTAGAGTTAGCTAATGTGTCATATGTGTAAAAGTGTCGTTGGTTCTTAGGATTAACTAAAATGCATATTTAATGCGCTTAAAGTACACACAAGTAACATCACAATAGTACATTTATTTAGCTAGATATCTGGGATAATTATCTAAGCAATATCGGGCACGTATTGTGTAACATGCAGAAAACTGTATTACAAAGACTAAAGTTTTAAAAGTCTTTCACAATTTTAAAACATTAAAACAACATTTTAAGTGTGAAATAAAAGCATTTCGTGTATATCCTGTTTAGGTGGATTAAAACAACAGTATTCTCTAAAATTGTTTTCCATTAAATGCTATGTATCGAAGTATGTTGATTTAGCAGGTGTGGTGGTATTTCGAGCGCTTCTGTTGAGCTTATCTTTGTGGACCTGGTTGCTTGTTTTCTGCCACACAATCTGGCAACGCTGAAGCAAATACGTCAAAGTGTTTAACGCGGATGTGAGGCAGGCGCATCCCGCCTCCAAACTTAACACTGGAGAATAACGTCGCTATCATCATTTGAAGAGGTTTCTTTAGAGGAACAACATAAACAAACAACTGTTGATTTAAAAAAAAAGAAGAAGGTAAAACTGAAGCTAAAACAAAACCAAGTAAAACTTTCTTTTGTCCTTCATGACACTTTCTTTCTTTTCTTTTCTTTTTTTCAGGCTTGTGGTTTCACCATGCAGTTTTCAGTCAATATTTAGTGTATTTCAGCGTCAAACGTGTTAGTCATCTCCCTGGCCGATGGGGGGTGCTAAGTGTTCCTTTCGCTATGAGTTAATTTCCAGGTATAAGATTATTGTTTTACATAAATCTAGTCATGACCCAAAATAATTTCCTAGTGAACAAGTAAACTTTGAAAGCTAGTTATTGTCAATTGGAAGTAAAGAAAAAACATGCACGTCAAATTGTTCTGTTAGCTGTTTCTGTCTTCTTGGTACAAATACGTGTGCAAAGGAACATTGGAGGAATTGTACCTGTACCTGTCAGAGTTGTTTGGCATAAAATAAAAAAGGGTGTGTGCACGTGCCTGATCATTCACCTCACGTTCCGGCTTGATTCTCAGTCTGAATAGCATACAACTGTCTGGAGAACAAAAGAAAAGTTATTTCAGTTTGGTACTTCAATATGTGTTTCGTTACCGAGTCAGAACAAGGCCAGTGTATTTTTATGAGTGTTAGCTTTGATGCAAAACAAAAAGGGCTAAAAAATAATTTTCATTGTTTGTATGAAATATATATGTTACAATGTTACATTTGTGAACCACACTCCCGATAGTGCCGTACACCTCTGTGTCACAACAGCTCTGTGGCATTGTCATAACAGGACAGAGCAGGTGCTGCTCTTGGAAAGATCGGTATCAGACTAGAACACTATGCTGCATTGCAAAGTAAGAGAAGTAAACCGGACTTTTCACACGTGTCCATTATCATAGAGAACAGCCAAGACACGCCCAGAGTGATTAACAACACTCTTAGCTTCAACCCTTTGGATGGAGATAAGAGTAACTGTCATCACCAGCACATACTTCTTTACACACTCAAATATTTCTACTATTGAACATGAAGATGCTGCCCCCCGGTGTTTTCTTGGCAGCTGGATAGGTAGATGCCAGACAGCTAGATCAACAAAGTTTCATTTGATTGTGCAAAAAGTACTCACTTGCTTTTTATTGTCCTGTATTTTAACATACTTTCACTTCTAAATTTAGAAATGCTTGCATTCACCTTTAATTTGTACAAAACCAAAAACTACGAACGAAAAATATATAATATATATTAAGAAATGAGTAAGGGGGGCTGTTTAGCCCGGGGCGCCAAAAAGAGTAGGGCCACCACTGCGTATTTGTTTTAATTAAACTTTTTTTTAAAACATATTGTTTATCAACGTTCCCCTAGAATTGCGTCATACGTTTTCAGTCGTGTAAAGCAACTATTAATTTGAATGTGTTGCGTTTGAAATCAAACGTGATGGTTGTTACACAATCGGAGATTTTTAGAGGTGTTCTCTGTTCCTGGTGAAGGATCCACCTAACGCCTCACCACACTCCACAGAACACCGTCGTGTATTCAGAGCACTAACAAAAGCAGCAGCCCTGAGCGTGACAATGAGCCAGTCGACGCACTCTGAAGACTGAAGTTATGACGATAATATGGCTGACAAGGGGCCGCTTTTGACCTCATGCGTCATTTTCTACCTTTCGATCGGGGCTGCAATATTCCAAATTCTCGAGGAACCAAACTACATGTCAGCCAGAGACAAATACATCCTACAGAAGGAACAAATCTTAAAAAAGTTCTCCTGCTTAACCAAATCAGACTTGGATCAGATTCTGGAGGTACAGTACTATTCGACCTGTTTCATCATGTTCGCTGCCAAAGAAATTGACCAACAGAGCACACATTCGTTTTTGAGAAAAAAGTATTTATCTCAGATCTAGAGTATAAGATGTTTTGCAACGATACTAATACTCGTTATATTTTGTTTGGATTGATTCTTATCGCGACTCTCAGTTTTGTGCCAGACCACAAATAGGGAGAAATTCCATCTTTCCGGGTCGGGACTTTATCTGTTTGTTTTTACTTGGAACAGGAAACAACCTTCCGTGCTCATTTCTCAGGCTAATCCGTCTAACCTGAGGTGAATAAATCGGGTTTTAGTTACTAAGGTAGATAAAAAGTTTCGACATCTTTTCTTGATTCAAGACAAAGTGGTGGGCTGCAGCGAGCAGTTTGAATATTTGCGGAAGGCGTGTCGATGCGTAGAGCATGTTGATACACGAGCATTTGTTGTGAACTCAGTTTTTATGTCATTGATAACTTGTATGCTATGTCTTCCGTTAGGAATCCTAAAAGTTAGATTTTGCCAATTTAGTTTGATTAAAGTAGATACTGTTAACTCAGCAATAAGAGAAGACAGGACTCGGTACCCAAGTCCTGTCTTCTCATATTGCAACATAACATGAATTATCTATTTAATATTTATATTAAGATATATCCCTATGTTACTCGAGTTCCTTAAGTTGAAAACTCTTATATTCCTTATATGCACAGATACACCAACCTAATAAAAACTGCAACCACAATGAACACCATTAACAAACATTAAACAATATTATCAACAAATTCAAAATAATAGTAAGTCAATTTAAATACTGGACTTTCCAGTTAATGCTTGGAACTTTTCCACCTTATCCAGGAGACACTACAAAATTGTGTAAAAACATGTGACAATAAATCACATCAAATACATGTGACCAGCTCACCGTGTTGACCCAACAGATAGTGTCAGAGGCTGCAGGTCAAGGCGTGGCCATAACTGGTGATAAACATCGCGAATCATGGGACTGGGCCAACTCCGTCATTTTTGCTTCCACCATCGTCACCACGATAGGTTTGTAAATTCTGCAGTTTTAGGCACAAACCTGATTTAGTGTGAATTTCAGTAATAGAAAACATCATTTATTTACAAATATTTCTTTAATTCCTATCTTCACTGTAATTTTCTATCATCTCTAACCCCAATCCTAGGCTATGGTAATGTTGCTCCAAAGACTAAAACTGGCCGTGTTTTCTGCATCCTATATGGTCTGTGTGGGATCCCACTATGTCTGGTCTGGATTAGTGAACTGGGATCTTTCTTTGGGGACAGAGCCAAGCGTCTGTCTCAGGTCCTGATTCGTAAAAATGTTTCTGTGGTAAGAAATGGTCAAATGCTACAGTGGATAGTCAAGTAAATTTAAGTTTTAATCTCACAAAGCATTTTTTTCTCTTTTTGGCAGAAAAAAGTCCAGTTTATCTGTACAGCTTTGTTCCTGTTATGGGGGCTTTTTGTACATTTGGTGATTCCCCCGTTTGTTTTCATGTCTGTGGAAGGATGGAGCTACCTGGAAGGCATCTACTTCTCTTTTATCACACTCACAACAGTTGGTTTTGGAGATTACGTAGCAGGTTAGTTTACCAACTTCACCTAAGGCCAAGGTTTTTCTGAGATTGTTTTGCATCCATTTTAAGTAGAGACGTCCGATATTAACTTTTTGCCAAAATCCGATATACCGATATTGTCCAAACACTTACCGATACCGATATAGACCTGGTAATATTCATTTATTTATCTGTACAAACCACTGCATGAGTTGCGTGCACCAGCATTCTGAATAAAATCCTGATTATCAAAATATATTAATTAAATGAGCTGCTATCTGGTGAGTTCCACTTTCATATACAGCCGTTTATCCCCACAGCCTATATTATCGGACATTCCTAATTCCCAGTCCTTGACATATCATTCTTTATTTCAGGTGTAAATCCCAACATTGAATACCCCAGACTGTACAGAGTAATTGCAGAGTTATGGATGTACATGGGTCTGGCCTGGCTATCTCTTTTCTTCAGCTGGAATGTCCACATGGTAGTGGAAGCTACCAAAGTGCTGAAGAAAAGAAGACACAGGCACAGGTACCCACACGAAGAGAAACCGCTGAACGAGGAGAAAAAAGAACAGGTGAATATCAAGCAGTCCGTCATCGACATCTTCAAATTCCTGTCTGAGCAGGACAACGACAACTACAACACCATCATCAAGGAGATTGGAATCAAAGCCAAGCATAAAAAACAAGAAGAGAAAATAAATCGCTCCAAAAGCTGCAACGACCTGCACATACAGATGCTGGATCACTCACCAGGCGACAAGCACCTAAAAGTTGGTGAGTTGTTCAGGAATCCAAAGGATGACATGGGCAGAAATAAAAAATGTGCCCTAGAAAAGAGCAGCTCACACCCCGACCTCTCACTTTGTATAAGAACTGAACCAGTGGATAATAAAAACTCAGAAAATGTTGGCATCATCATCACGGTGACGACCAGTGATGCGGCCGAAGGACAGAGTGTACAGCATCCTGACGGAGGAGAGACGAGGTTCACAATATCTAAGGTACCGGAGGATTTGACGACAGATAAAGATGAGATGGGCTGAGGCTTCTTTTCTGAAACCTCACTCACAAAGACACAAACTCAAAAAAAGAAAAAATACTTCAATCAAGAAAACAAAACTACAATCTGTGCAACAGCCTCCAACATATAGTTATGTTTGGGAAAAGGATGTTTTTGCTTTTTTTTTTCTTCAAAATATGTTCTTATTTATGTTTGGGAAAAGGATGTTTTTTTTTTCTTCAAAATATGTTCTTAGGTGTTGTAATTTCACATCAGACCATGAATAAATCACACATTTCACACTAAATTGTACAAACAATTACTAATGATGTTACTCTTTTTGACATGTGACATGTATATACACATATGTCACACATATATACACATACACACATATACATTGCTACCTTTGTGTTTCTAATCCTCTAATTGGTGAGAGAATATAAATATATATATATATATATATACAAAACAAAAAATGAATTAGTTTTGTTGGGTTTTTTTAATTGGGATAAAAGAAACATCTCTTAACAGTCATTTAAGCTCCTGTTCAATTCAGTGTCTCCAAAAATATAACTTCCCACAGGATAATTACTAGAAAACTGCAATACAACTTTCTTCTTGCTAGAAAGCAGCAATTCAAGGGACTCCAGTTGCCTCTGTTTTATCACATACATCCTTCTAAGTGCAATAAGTTAAGCAGTTTCAAAGGAAACCACAACACAGCCCATCACAAACATTTACTCCTAATAATTTCAGTAGGTTATAAAATGGAGTCAGTGGCTACTTCAGATCACAGACCAGAGTCTTGTGGAAAACAGTGCCAATTAGCAACTTCCCTCCGTAGGTTGCTGCCACGGATGAACCCATGATCACCTGACCATCGTCAGCATACACTTGAGTGACCTCTGGCTGATCAGAGTGAATGTTCTGGACTCTAATGACCTGGGGAAGGTTGATTCCGAGACACACAGAGTTACTAAAATGTATTACACAGTAACTTTAGTATTGTCCTAAGATGGTATGTAAATGGACAAACCTCAGATCCAGGAGGGTCTTTGGTGTCACACATAAACAGCTTCCATCCATTAGGATGACAGCCTAGCCACAGGTCGCCCGTCTCAGGGTCAACTTCAACATTGTCACACATTGAACCCACAGCCACAGCCTAGGGATATGAAATATAAATGGTCAAACAAACAATAACATCAGCTTGTTCTGACCTTGTCTTTACTGTAGACAGTACCATAATCAGAAAATCTTAATCTTACTTCCAAATATGAATTTACGTACAGTATTTTTGATGCCATAAAAACAACATCTGTATACTGCACAATTACTAGGTGTAAGAAAATATCATATATTATGATTTTGTTTCACATCATCAGTCTTCTACTGCACTGTATTAAATTTTTAATTAATAATTAACCTGCAAATATTCATGATTTCATCAATATTCATCAATGGCATTGGTTCATTTTATTTAGCTTCTCTAGCCATTACAAACGTAGATCCCTCCGCTCCAATTTTATTAACCTGATGTTAAGCATCTAACATTTAAAAATGACCTTATTATATATATAATATTATAACATTATATTAATATTCATGTTTACCTTCACAGGGACCAGGGCGTTATCTTCCTTCCGCTCTAACACGTGTACGTTATGGTCCAATACATCGACGACGTAAAGGTGCCTTCAGTTCAGAATAAGTGAGAATTAGTATGAAATACAATGGTGTAAAACATAAATACCTGGCCTACTGTTTGCCTACTGTTTATCTGGGGACGTGTTGATGCCGTTTGCAAGATAGTAACCCTCAGCCACTACTCTGACATCATCAGGGCTGTAGTACACGACGTTAGTCCAAGGCTGAGCCAGAACAAGCTCAATCAGACTTGTAAAGGCAGTATTGGAAAAATAGTGATCATTGGTTGCATAGAAGCTGTCCACGCCCACAGCAACAATATCGTTTACACTGGAAAGAAGTCACATGACAACAAGGACTTAGGTCACAAACAGCAATTGAAATGAACAATGAGGGGATTTGCTTTCTTCTTTTTTCATATTTAGTTTAGGCTGCAGTTTCAATTTCAACACACCTATGGAGAAGTTCATGCTTTATAGTTTTCAGGTGAAGCAGGGATTGGTCGTCTTCAACAAACTGAAATACCTCAACTTGGCTCCCGTGGTGAGGATGATTGACAACAAACAGGTATATCTCATCATCTGGAGAGAAACAAGTTAATCTCTGTTAAAAAAAAAACCTGATTTATCCTGGATGTAGAAACCTGTCTTTAAGAGGTGTGACAATCCCAGCCACTCCCTGCATGCCCACAGGGTACTCACTAACTCTGGATGACTGGTTTGTTCACATACTGCAACTTTACAGGTACACACCAGCCAGAGCTCTGCTTTACTAGTCATATGACCAGCTGCTGCAGAAAAATTACATAACTTTTAAAATAAATACAAGTGGTTGGATATTATTTTTTTCAAAATAAGAGTGAGTATTAGATGCTTAGGAATTAACTGATTGCATGTGTTAAATTTAAAAAAAATCCATTAGCAGTTTCTTTTTCGCTAGGATTTAAACCCATAACCCCTTCATCTATTTCTGCCAACTGTTTTACAAGTTAATATGCATTGCACTGCATCCTGTGCATCTTCTATTGGCTGGTGAATAAACATTAGCTGCATTGCTGCCATCTACTGGGCTGGAGTGAGTGCTTTAGTATTGTAAAAGAACAATTTGTAATTAATTAAATGAAATGAACTTATTTATGTGCACTTAAATTGCTTTGTTTTTTTTCTTTCAGAATAATATTTCACATATTCAAATATGGGCATTTACCAGATGGACTGACGTAGGCACTGATGCCATGAGGGTTGAACGAGTCCAGATCAAAGTTTCTTGACACACGTAGCTCCAATGGCTTCAGCCGAGGGTCTTGTAAATCTAGAGAATAGATCTTTCCTGGACCATCTGGGTCTGGCATTCCAGGATAGGAAAGACCCTGCAGACAATAATATTATAAAAGATGAGTGAAAACCAACACAATCAGTTTAGTGAGGGACATCATTTCAAAGTTTTCTTAGTAGTGTATGATGATGATTTTTGCTGCAAGTTTCATATGAAGAAACAAACTACCGTACTTGTAACCCTTAATGCCAGGGACTGCATGTAAAAAATCCAGGTAAAGACTGATTAATATTTGAATATAATATATATACTGTGTGTGTGGCCCAAATGGATTACTGAGACCATGAATGTTATGTTTTCTGTGCCTTTACAATGCCTTACATCATGAGACTTTTGCTCTTAACTGTAGGTCCTCTGATGTTTCTTTTTGTTTGTTTTGCGGTTTAAGTTTGTTCAACCTCAGATAAACATTGCTGATCTGAAAGTCAAACATACTCACAGTGCTGATAAAGGCGAGTCCATCTCTGATGATGGTTATATCCTCCGAGCCCTGGTCTGAAAAAAAGAAATGTAATATCTGTTCAACAATAAAATAAAATAAAAAAACACTATTTCTTTCATTAACTAGTGACCATTACGCTTGTCATGTCTGATGGCATCTCTAAAACTACACTGTCAGTAGTGTCTCTCAGGTGGTTTTAACGACTCCACATTCACAACTTGACTCACGTCAAACTAACATAACTGTGACATAACATGGCAAATTAACCTCCATTGCTTATCATAGCAACCCTTGGAATATAAATATCAGTTTTCATTAGTCAGCAAGAACTGAAGACGCTTCTTAGAGTTGTCGAGTTTATAAAAACATCAGAAACTCAATACAGATTAAATTCTCTGACAGAAAAAGTCGTGAGTAAAATAGTAGCACTAATGTTATATTTATATTTTCGTTTCTGTGAAGGCTGAGTAAGTTACTTACTGAGGTTTTTTAGAGTCACACAGTTTGGCAGATGATTCTGCACAAGCTCCCTGGAGGCGAGAGCTCTTCTCCTGCACTCACACACAAACACACACAGGCAGAAACCTAGCTTCAGGGGCAGAAGTTAGAAAACAAAATCGAGGTTCTAGCTTGGGAAATGCAGGTTCATACGTTACCTTAGGTTGACAAACCTCTCCCCCAACAGCGCCGACAAGGCAGCTACAAGCAGCGAGATGAACACGAGCTTTCCCATTTGGAAATATACCACAGGAGGTGCAACTTTGTCAACTGATTAAACTTCAGACCCGCCCGAGTCCTATAGCCGAGGAGGATCCCGCTCCTCTAATGACGCCTTCATGACAATCGGACATGTGAAAACTTATGTCGTCTATCAAAATCTGAGTTCTTCATTGAACATGTGTAACATTGAACAGCGAAAGTTTTTTATCCTTTACTCAATATAAGTCCCCACGTTCATTTTCTAACTCAATAACTTGTCTGTACCATTTACTAGGCCGAAAGATTAACACACACCGGGACTTCGACATCGACATTCCCTAGCTAGCCCTTTACCTTTATTCTAATTTAACTTTCACCCGATTTTTAGTCTAAACACTGAACGTATATAAAGTTACTGACACATAAGGTAAATGTTAGCCACAAATATTTCAAATGCTAATACAAATTCCCATAAGAACATTAATAAAATTAAAACAAAATATAAACATTAATAGAAATTGTTAAATTAAAAAAAGCCAAAATACCAAAAATGTGCTAATAGCCTTAGTAGCCAGAAAAAATCTATTCTGAACCCATCAGAATAAATTCAGTAGAAAAATATACAAAGACAAAGGATAGAAATACTTTAATATATAAAGTTATATTCTTACCTTGATGGCATAGCAATAATAATAATCATTTTTAAGAAAGGCCTGGCATAGCAATAATAATAATAATCATTTTTAAGAAAGGCGTTGAAAGATGAGGTTAAAACCTATCCCAGTGCCACGATTGGCCTGAGGGCCCGAGGTTGAACATAGTTTTCAGGCAGGAATATTTATTCTAATATTTTTAATTGGAGGCAATCTTTTCAGTAATCTTTACAGGGCAGATATTTGTCCTTAATAGATATTTGTGTAACGACAGCAGTAAAATTCCTAAAACTTTCTATAGTTTAAGAATTCAACTTTTCTAATATACGTCACACCTTTCACTTCTTGATTATTGGTCGAACACACGTGAATGCATATCTAATTGTAAAATATTACACCATTTACCCCAACCAAATTACCAGGGCATTACAGGTTCCTGTTCATCCTGAACACACTATTGTCCTTATACAAAAAAAATCCCTCTATTTATAGGATTCCATCCTCAAGAGCCAAGTCTGTGGTTCCAAATTAAATTCAGTCATAATCTTAGTGCAACCAGTCAACACATGATATATTCAATAACATGTAGTGCCTGCAAAACCCTGTTTAAATTGTTTATTTTTGAAGTTGTTTTTTGTAGGTGATGACTCCCTCCCAACATAAAACAAAAGTTACAAAATTGTCTATGTAATCAAAATCATGTGTAAGAGACTTCATAAAAAACAAACATGAACACATACATACACATACAGAAGTGAAGGTAACATAAAATTGGCAAACTATTGACCCTGTGATATTCAGCATTGGGTGCATGCAACCTGACAGTAACTGTAGAATATCTACAAAAGTCCAATTAAAGAATGATAGCATCTAACAGCTTCAAAACATCAACTCCTGCACATTACAGTGTGCAACCAGCGAGCACTGTTAACGGGAGGGGGAGGGGTGGGGGGGGGGGGGGACGCCAGATTCCTGACTCTGTTTGTGAAGTCGTGTAAAGGTTCACAGTGTAATACAGCAGGATGCCCATCAAACAGTTTCAAGCAAGACTGTATATTTGGAACATACAAAATAAAGTTTATTATTATCCATTCTCTTCATGTCTACATCTTATTAGAATTTCTAGACAATGTCATTGTCAAATAACACACCCAAATTAATTCTAATAATCCTGACAGGTGCAACAATACATTTCTGTCAAGTCCAGGTGTCAAAATATAACTGAAGGTGAAAAGCAATTTAAATTTACTTCTTTGTTATTTTTCAACATAAAAAGGGGAGCCATGGCCCTGGGCCACAGTGAGATCTAGGCAGGACACGGCCATGAGCACACATTAAACACAGGTGAACAAGTGGCTTCAGGGTTGGGCCCCAGAGGCTGCAGGGACTTGTGTAGCCAAAGTGTTTGGAACAGAGATGACGGGTGATCCAGCAATGTTAGCCAGTGGCTGTGTGGAGGACATTGAGGTGATGCCTGGAAAAATACAGCACGGCTGTTATTCACAGAATTCCTTTTCTGCTAATTACCAAAACGTGTCACTACTTGGTACGAGGGGGAAAAAAAAGAGGTCATCTGTGAATGTAGACTGATGCCCCTCCTGGGACATGTGTTCCAAGGAGGATTACTCACCAGCCATCATACTTGAGGAGCTGACTGGTGTAGAGCTGGCAGCCATCCCTCCTGGAGTGGCCCCCCTTCCCTGATCTTTGACGATAGGATCTGCAGACAGAAGAGAGTCTGAGCGAGAACATTTCACTATAATCCACATTGGATGTTTGCTCCAGTATTAAAACCAACAGTTGAGCTGAGACCTGGCCAACACCCGAACAGTAGGATGACATTTTCTTTTACCAGTGTGGAATAAACAACCGCTGAAAGCTAATTGCTACATTTACCATCACTGTGTTTAGTCAGTGACAATAATAATTAATCACTGATAAAGTCTTAAGCACAGTGGGAGACAACAAAAAAATGTGACCAACAGGTTTTGTTCTGACAAACATCAGAAAGCTACACTCATTTAGTTAAACCTGACAGTTTAAATAAACATGGCAATGTCATGTGAGGTAATACAAGGGCTATTACCACTGACTATTTCCAAACAATGGGGTTTGCAGACAAAAAGTCAAGAGGCAACAACAAACTTGGCGCAGCATCAGTGGGTGTGTGTACTGAGAAAGAAAAGATGCACCTCATTTGTTTTCCAGTAAATAGTTCTGTTCTGCCCAGTACTTACACTGGTATATCACAACGGTCATCAGGTGTGATTGAAGACGTTCGCTACATGGAAAATGCAACATAATTTCTTTTGTTTTTTAGCCTACATTGATCGTTCTGCCCTGTGGTATTTGTTACATCATGCAGTTGTTGTTCACATCTCCTTGAAATGGTTGACACAGACACATTTCTTAACATCTACACCAAAGTACAGATGGCATCACAAATACATTTCAAGAGCAACTCTATGAATAGATTAACCATACAAAACTGTTTTAACTAAGGATTAAAGTGTAGAACTTTAAGAAGCCTTACAGAAGTAGGGATGATCCATTGCCTCTCTGGCTGTGAGTCGAGCTTGGTGGTCATAGCGCAGCAGTTTGTCCAGGAAGTCCAGGGCCTCTGTGCTGACCAGGTGCTGGTTCTCACTGTGCACAAACCTCTCCCACCTTTTGCGAGAGTGTCTGAAGGACAAACCAGAGGTTGATGGGATGTAATGTTATCCAAAAACAAGTTAACTAGTGATGCATGTTTTTTCTTTTACCTTCCCAGGATGTCGTTGAACCGTGGATCCAACTCAATGTTGTATTTGTCAATGTAGTCATACAAGTCCTCAGTGCCCAGAACTTTGGCAATCCGCACCAGCTTTAAATTAGGAAAAGAACAAAAATGACATGCAGATGAATGAGAGCATGGATCAAATCCTGTAAACAGTAGTGAACCATACTCATTGGAAATCCACTGCTGTGATTTTGTGTACTATAGTTGATGTCATTAAAATGTTGAGGGGAGGGGGTTCCCAAAATGGGAGGCACCTCCCATAGGGGGCACAGCAAGGCAAATGATTTTCCTTTTCCCTATAGTGTGTAAATTGTATTGACTTCTCTTGGTTCAACATTAGAAGAAGCTTTGTAGGAACTAGCTTTTTTTTTTTTTTGCTTAAGTTTCATGAATAGTTAAAGCATTATCTGTGAATTTTTCAAAACTGGTCGGACACAGGTGTGACTATGGTTCAGTGCAGAAAAAAAATATTGAAACACTGGTTAGATTAGTTTAGTTAAAAGATAATGAAAATCCACTGTAATTACCATTATGTTAATGCTATATTGTTGGAATGAAGGGGTCCAAGATTAAATCAAGTAAAAGAAGGAAGAAAGTAATTGGCTCTATTTAGCATGTGTTACTTTAGGAATGACAAAAAATATCCTGTTATGTGAGTAGTCAGGTGTCAATGGAATGTGTAACCACACCCACAAAGGAGTTTGCTGAACAAAGTTGTTCATACCTGATCGTAGTTGTCATGGCCGTGGAAGAAAGGCTCCTTTCTGAAGATCATACTGGCGAGCATACAACCCAGGCTCCACATGTCCAAGCTGTAGTCATACATCTGCAAACGAGGAAAACAGGCAATAAGATTCCTCTTCATTTTAAACCATAATTTTGATGCATAGCAGAAATGCGATCGGCCTTTACCTGGTAGTCTACCAGCAGTTCAGGTCCTTTAAAGTACCTGGAGGCCACTCTCACGTTGTATTCTTGGTTGGGATGATAGAATTCTGCCAAACCCCAGTCGATTAGACGAAGCTTTAAAGTAGAAAGAAAGTTTGGGAGATTTAAAGGCACTGTAATTTACTGCATATGAGAGATTAAAGAAAACTGAAGAGACAGTACCTTTCTGTGTTCATGATCAATCATAACGTTGTGTGGCTTAACATCTCTGTGCATTATACCCATACTGTGGCAGTAATCCAGAGCCTATCGTGGTAGAAAATACATTTAGGCATATTCTATGTTGATAGAAAACACACAACTGAATGTAAAAATGTATAACAAAATGAGTTTCTTCACCTTTAAGATTTCATACATGTAGAACCGTATGTCGAAGTCAGATAGGGTTTGGTACAATTGCTGTAAAAAATGTGTGACTTGTCAGACTTTAACCCACCAGTGTCAGTTGATCTTATTCTACATATCAATTCTTGATCATTACCTTGAAGTCTGTGTTGTTCACATGTTCAAAAACAAGAGCAGGGGTACGGGACTAAGAGACATACAAAACATATGTACGTTACACACACTCCTACATGTAGAAATATAAATAATTACAGTTGGTAAAGTACAAAAGAGTCATAGAAATACCACAGGATCTTTGACAATATCTAACAGGGAGATGATATTTGGGCCACCACGCAGATTCTCCAGAATCTTTATTTCTCGCTTGATTTTCTTTTTCTTGACGGGCTGTAAGCAGAGACAATCTTGTGAGATGCGATTTAATAATAAAAAAAAAATCCCAAAAAGTTCAAATAATTCAAATAATGATGTGATTGGAGCCCCCTTCACACCTTGAGTATTTTGACGACCACTTTTTCATTGTTTGTGATGTTAATTGCTTCGAACACTTCGCTATATTTGCCTCTTCCCAGTTTTCGGACTAACTGATAGTCATCTTGGTTCCTTAGGGGAAAAAACAGCAGGTCACATTAATAATATTGAAATGAATTACCTAGTAAAGCAAAATTAAACAAAGAAAATGTTAAGTGCCACCGGCAGTATTTTGCCTTACCCCCATTCAACAACATGGGACTCATAGTCCCAGTATTCCCGAGGTCTCTGTGTGTTTACATCAGGGTAAACTCGAGAGCGGCTTGGAACAGGGCCAGACATATTCTATACGAAATCTTCTCTAAATCTCCTAAATAGAAAGCAGGACAAGACAAAATAAAAGATAATCCACATCAGGATTGAGCTCAGTACCAACCATGAGAACTATAATCTATACTATTATCTTTAAAAAATATGCAGGCAATTCTGATAGAAAATAAAGGTGTTACATGCGAGTACTGTGAGCAGACATTCAAAAAAGGTCGTTAAATTCAGGAGAGTTTGCTACATCACTCGATCACCTGTTTGTCTGAAGTTGTGAGGTGTACAGTCATTACACAGAACAAACGTTGTACCGTTTGAATTTGCACAATTCTTCTACTTGTGTGCCCTAATAATTTAGCTTCCCAAATGTGTAATTTGCATAAAAATAAAAGATTGGTCACATAAATTGATCAAATAAACTTGACTAAATTGCTAAGTGGAATTGTTGGAATTTAAATTTGTAAATAAAATGTTGAAACTAAGCTTTTAAATTTTTTTGTAATTCATACAAAGGCTTAAAAGAAAACCCAGACGCAACTGTCACTGTTAGATTCCCTATTCAATTCAGGATCAACTGACCACAGACCAAAGGGGAGATAACAGAGTTTGCTGCTTAAAATGCAAAACCACCACACTTAGACGCACATCACATTGTGGTGGAGCTTTTAAGTGACAGATCTAATTAACAAACAATTATCAACTGCTTTTCATTAAACTGACCAAATACAGACATGGATAGGGCTGTGTGTTTAGATCTGCAACTGTGTGTTTTAATTAAATTAACAGACAACAAGAAGTGGTCTTGGTCAAATGACACAGAAGAAGACAAGAAGTCTTTCTAGACACAATACTTTTGACTCGTATCAAGACATTTTTACATACACACACAGAGACATATATACACACACACATATATATATATATATAGACAAACTTATGCGATGTACAAGCTCTGTAGATGGAGGTAATTATGTTGAAAACAACAAAAACGTGTTGTAATGTGGTCTTCAATCACCCAGTGGTGGTAAAAGTAAGTGAACTGGTAAAGTTCTGGTAAAAACTCTGCAGTCGTTGTATACTTTCTGTCTAGACTGAAGGGGAAATTGAGATTTTACAATTAAGTGTATTAACTATGTAATTTTATTACATTAATTTGACATTTGAATGTATGAATACATTTTTTTAGAAATGGAAAAGGAATAAACACAAAATTCTGTCAGTCCAAAATCAACCTGCTCCACCAGCCTTTAAAGTTAGAGATGGATACTGTATCTCATATTTTAACTGACTGGATTTGTGTCCTATTCATTACTTTTTATGAGTAACATCAGTTTACAGTGGAGTTCACAGCACTCTTCAACTATGATAATTATATTTGCAGTTGAATGTAATTATCTTAATTTGTGAATAAAATTAATTTAACCAAACCTTAGCAATAAAACCCAAACTAGTAGAGAAGCGGAACAGATCATGATTAACCATTACAAATGAACGCCAATCCAGCCTAAATTGCACTGGAATTAAAACAGCATTAGACATAGGTAGAAGCATTACCTGGGAGGTTTCCTCCAGGAAGCTGGTAATATATAAATATAAACAGGAGTGGTGTAGATGCCTTAGATGAAAAATCTGCATGAACAAAAAAAACAAAAAAACAAAAAAACAAACAAATGTGCTTTACCTTTTAACACCATAATCACATCTTATTATTCCATATAAGTCTATTTGAAGTTTTCCAAAAAAATTAACATTGTGCCTTATGTTAACGATAACATATGCAACACCTTATAATAATACATTCGATCATAAATATGTGACAAGAGGCAAATCTTGCAGAGAAAATATCACTAGAGGCTCGTGTGTGTAAAAATGGTGGCTTGTAAAATGGAGAAACCTGAATGTTAAATAGGGGCATCCAACCAGTCTAATCAGGAGGTACAGGATTCAATGCAGTCATCACTGGGGGCTACACAACGACAGTATATCCTGTTAAAATAACAAGGACACAAAGTAGGTTGATTACAATCAATGCTGTCAGTTAAGCAAACACGATTCAAATGCGAGACCCAGCGCACACCAGCCAATAGGGCTGCATTTAAATCGTGTTACATTAGAAGCACACAGTCGACATGAAATCATTTTAACAAAAATACGCGAACATAATAACACCCGATTTACCCGATCAACACCTCAATACAAATTAAAAGACTGCGCAGAAAGCTTGTGTGGCCCGGGGCCTGTGGAAGTGCAGTGCAGCCAGCTAACGGCTAACAGACGAAACCGGGCAGCTGCTCTAGTGTTAGCACTTAGCATTAGCTCGTCAATAGCAGAGGGAAAAAGCCGGTCACAAAGTCGCAACTACCTATCGATTACGAAATGAGCCCATAACGGAAATGGACAAATTCTGACCGTTTAGAAATAATAAAATGTTTTATATGACGGATGGTACTCACACCTGGCACAGCAGAAAGCCTTGAAACATTTATTTCATAAAGCTAAAAAAGTGCTAAGCTAACAGGCTACTTGAGTGAATAGCCTGCTGGCTGGCGAGGAAACTGGCTGACAACGCCTTTAAAAAACATCATACAATCGCTGTGGTTATGTGATAGAAGACTACATCTGTTGTTAGGCGGATTGCCGGCTTCCCCTCACTCGTCTAAGGCCACAAAGACGATCTCAAAGAGACGACGATTCGTGGTTAAATAACACGATTACCTTTCAGCGCTGTAGGGACGTCAATATGGCGATGATTGGGATCAAGAGCTTAGTGCGAACAGCCTTTCCTACAGAGGGCGCTCTCTCGATTTCGTTTTCTCACAAGGCTTCCTTCTTTGCCACACGGGTCTGATGCAGAAACCGAGGGGAACTTCTTTCTATATGCATCAGCAGGGTCGTAAACTATTCTTGTGAGATCGTGCTTACATTTTTTAAGAAATCACACACAAAAAAACATACACACCTTTCAGCCCCAAACTGACGTCTGAAGTATTATTCCTCATGTTGTATTTTATTACTGTAAAAATATATTCTAAAAAGTAAATAACCGGCACAGATACATGGTAAACAGTTTATAATAATAAGTAAGGCATTGTTTTGTAGTTAGGTAGGACAGTAATTTCATTGTTATGTTCATTCATTTTAATGAATTACTTAGGAATGGAATGGAATTACGGCCATTTGGACAATTTAAATCGACTGTAGGTAAATGCTATTGGAACTGCAATGAACTGGTGTACTGTTTACTCAGTTATTGCAGTGACTGGTTCTAGTTCCCCCATTGCCTTAAAGGCAGAAGAAAATAAACCGTCAACCTACAATAAAACAATAATGAAAACTGTAAAATTCAAAGACAGTGAATGTGGATATCATGTATAATCGACCATCTCTGGTCCAATAAGATGCCAAATAAAGATAAATAAGATACAATGATAATAATAATAAGGTCTATACATTAGGTACACTAGCAAGTAGCAAAAGACATTTTTTGGGAAATATGTTTTCAGTAAAAATGTCTCTACATTACAGGTGTACAAGTGAGGCCTTTACCTCTATACATTGATGATGAATGGGCCCTGTTTTTCTAAAAGGTCTTTGTCTGGACAAGAACACAGTCTATACTTAAAAAGACAATGGAGCACCAGTAACAGAAATCAACACTCGGCCTGTGGCATCTTTTAATAAGCCAACTCGGCCATGCAAAAAACACTAGCATATTCCTGAACAGACAGCACCTATTTACTCAGCACATAACAGACAGACAGACTGATTCTCACAGTGCATGGTTGAATAGTCTGAGTGTTTCCTACTGTTAAAGTGCTGAATGAATAGGTCTTTATAAACCTTTTGGGACCTGCAGCCTAATTGTTGCTCTTGCTTGCACACACTGTTAAACACAGACACAGCCTCCAATGTAATCCCAGTTTTAAACACATTGTCAAATTTTGTAATTAACCTGTGCAAAACCTATAGAATGTCAAAAGGCAGGATACAAGGCCGGTATATAAGGAAATGCACCAGTGATGAACAAACAGTGAAAACAGCTGCTGTTGGAGTGGAGACTGCATTCAACGATGAAGCTGTGAGTGTGGACGTCTCTCCTTTTCCATCATCATTCCTGACATTGTTATGTGAAGTGTAATTGTTGTGATGCTACATCTTTGGTTAAAACTTTTAATTCACTGTGATTTTGTTTCAGGTCCCCGCTTTTTCTCATTCTTCTTCCTCTGGTAAAAAAGTCAATTCACTGATCACTGATTTTGTTTCAGGTCCCCGCTTTTACTCATTCTTCTTCCTCTGGTAAAAAAGTCATTAACAGCCACAGTCAGAGGTAAACAACTTCATTAACTGAATGTTTGTGAGATAGGACTGTAGCAGTAACACATTTCCCTCTTTCCTTCTTTTCAAGCACGGAGAGAAAATGTGTTAAGCTTCCTCAACGGTAAGATGTGTAAATAATAACCCATACCCTGGTTTTGTTGTTGGGTTTTTTCTGGACCTTTACTTTTCAAATACTTTTTAAAAAAAATGTCATCTAACTTTTTTTCCCACAATCATTATTGTCCTAGATGCTCTCAGCCCATCTGCAGTACCACAGACCACAGGTTTGTTTTGTAACTGTTAGTATTCACCACAGTCAATCAAAGAGAACAAGAAATGATATTGTGTAAAGTTTGTCTCAGAATTATATAGAGAAAAAGTATTTTTGATATAAACCTTGTTGTGCACTACTTGAGTAGTATGTATTAATGTATGTAGTAAGTATTTCCACATATCTTCAGAGTACAGAAAACCTCAGAGCAAACCAGTAGCAGAAAACAACTCCGAAGGTAAGTTTTACGCTGTTGTTGATCTTTTTTTCTTCTTCTTTTTTTTAACCTATGTATACATTCATAATATGGACAACTTCGAAATGGAAAATTCACAGATGGGAATGTTGTCATGTTACAGATATCTCAGATGCAAATTCTTCAGAGATTTTTTACGCAACTGGATTCAAAGGTTGGATCTATTTCTAAACATGTACAGAAAAACAACTTCAAGAATTTGTTAATAATTTAAATACTGGGATCTACCACCAACCAGAGGGAAACTGACTAGTGATGTTTCAAATATTTTAATAATTTGACTTTTACCAGATACAGTCAAAGATCTTGAAAGCCATGAGACTGTGGTGAAGAATGATAAAGAACCATCGGGAAGAAAACCAGGAATGGACCGAGACGCTGTGGGTCCAGTGCATAGCAGAGAACGCCCTGGTCTGGACAGTGAAGAAGTAATGACAGCAAATACTCAGAAAGATGGACACTTTCTCCTAAGTCAATCCGATGACCAAAGAAGAGAAGAAAAGGTAAACGGCTTGAACGATGATTTGACCCCAGACCAGAGCAAGGATGTCCCAGACTGGGACAGTGTGGAGGAGAACCAAGGCAGACTGGCTGCAGCCAGGAACAGCAAAGGCACAGACTATGATGGTACAGTAAGAGCACATTTTAATTGTGTTGTGTTGTTGAGAACAATCAAAAACTAAATCACAGTGTCTTCAAACTCTAAAGACACCAGGGAAAATACCAGCCTGGAAACGGGCCCAAAAGGTAAGATCAACTTCAAACCATGGCACATTATTGATTCACAAGGACAAAAAGTGTTTTAAAAAGCCTGTGTCCTTTCTAATTTCTGATTCTAATCGAATTTCTAATTTCACTTCTCTCATGTTGAAATTAGATCAGCTGCCAGGTCACTTCCCTGTTCCAGCCAAGAGCAGAAGTTTCAAATAATTCTATAAAGGTGAGTTTACCATGTATTCAACAAGAAAGGTTTATTCTAGGGATGGCTAATAATATCAGCCCGATATCAGAATATGATGTAATATGTAAGAATCGTTATCGGTTTTTCCTCCAATAATGAAAACACAATGCTAGGGTTTCGCCAAATGACGTGTGCCCTAAAATAGTTGTGGGGATAATGTTGTATATTGAAGTGAAAGTCACTAGATGGTAGCATTGCAGCTCATTTAATTAATCTCATACTAATACAGTGGTTGTATAGATAAATAAATAAATATTACCAGACCTATCTCGGTATCGGTTGATATGGAATCGGAAATTAAGGGTTTGGACAATATTGGCATTTCGCATCCCAGTTTATTCCATTCCTCTTTCATTGTTTTTAGATATATTTCTTCTGACTTAAAATAGAATTGTAATTTACATTCTATTCTGTGATAAATAAAACCAACATTTACCAACTGTCATGACTATCTGTTGCTTTTCTCTTTTTTCCAGAGTCCACATTGTTGTCATCATGACTAATGTACCATCTGTTGACTCAACGGACTCAGACACATTACTTCCAAATGCAGAAACCTGTGGGACTTTTTGATCCAAATTTAGATTTTTACATTTATTTCTTATGGTGTGATTATGTGTAGAAATAGAGGAAATATGTTTCCAGTTTCCAGGGAACCAAACACCAACTGGGCTGTATTTAAGGGAACTGGTCACAGAGAGCAAGTTGTCACAATGAATGACAAAGGAACAGGCATGATGAAGAGGGGAACCTGAATGGACCTTATAGGAGTGTTTGACAATGAATTCTCAACAGTGTCAACAATTCTCTTAAATATAAATAAAAAAAGGAAAAAAAAGTGCTTTTGAATATCCTTTAGTCATAATTAAATAATACATACTCTACCAACCTACCTTACATAAAAACATTTTGAATATCACATTCAACAAAACACAGTTAATAACACAAAAATTAACTTAACATAATGCAAATATAGTTTACATATACAGTATGTACATATTTTTTTGTTAGATGAGTACCATACCGTGGCAAGTGCACTGCTAATAGCAGAGTGATAAGTCAACTGGTCAAAGCCTGGAAAAGTGGAATTGCAAAACAAAACAAACAAACAAACAACCAACCAAACAAACAAACAAAACCGTGTGCGTAAAAAACAGAGAATTAAAAATTATAGCTCTGTTGTTTCTTTTCTAAAGTGGTGGAGCTCACTGTACACGTCTGACTGGACTCCATGTAACTCCTACAAAACAAAACCAACAATTTAATATAATATAATATAATATAATATAATATAATATAATATAATATAATATAATATAATATAATATAATATAATATAATATAATATAATATAATATAATATAATAATATAATAGCAGTGTATAACATACCAGAACATTACAAACACAATGCAATATAATTTCTTAATGCTTTTAATAATCTAATCTAGTGTCATATAGTACTGTCAAATATAATTGTAAATATTACAAAAAACTTTAACAAAATATAATACAAATATACCTGATAGGGAGATTCTGTGATCTCTGTCATGTCTCTTTTCTTTGCATCCAACGACATATTTCTTCCACACACTGAAAAATGGTTTGAGTTCAAGGTTATTCTCCCAGCAGCAGGGTATGGTCCACAGACAGCTGTGACAAAGTGACACTCACCCTGAGTGGAGTCCCACTCTCTCCTCCGCTTGTGGTACGTTGCGAACAAGAAGACAGAAATAACGATAAGGACCGTCAAGATAATGTCGATGGCGATGATGGCCACCACTGACCACATGCTTATCAGGTAACAAGACACACACTCTGTGGAATGATAATGCCAGGGTTAAAACACACATTACAGAGACATGGCGTCTGACTGGTGCAGAGACGTTGACAGAGATTGGGCACAGTACCTTGTTGTTCCTCTGAAGAGCCTGAAAGAGGAGGAGAAAAAACTCAGAATGTTACAACAGAACGACACATTTATACAAAAAACAAAACAACAACAAACAACTCACCAAACAAAGACCCTGCAACACAGATAGCTTCAGACATCTTCACAGGTCGGAGAGGAAATGAGAGTGTAAGAGGATGATGGCCACCGGTCCTTCAATGTGTGCGTGTGTGTGTGTGGTTTTTTTTTTTTTTTTGTAAGGCGTTGCATATGAACTGGAAATAATGAACCAGAGACATGACTTGGGGCATAGTTGCACTAGTGTTAAGGTTTGGCAGTCCATGAGTGTGGGTATGTTTCTACAGTAGGAAGCTGCCCCTGAGAAATCCTGCCCAGTAACTGTTCCCTCTTGACTTTTCTACACATTTATTTTTTTCTGATTGTCTTGATTTTGAATTATTTAAAAGATAAAGTAATGGTTTTCAGTTTGGCCCTGGGACGTATTCTAATATTTTGGCCAGCAACTTTCCTTCTTGGACAACAGTGATTTACCCACATCAAGTTAACGTTTATATTTTCATTAATAAAGTTATTTTTGGGCAAAACATGGTATAGACTTCTTTGCAGGACATTTCAGCATTTTTGCCTTGTACTTATAACTAACCTTAAGATATTTTGGGCCAAGGTTTACATGTTATTTAAAGACATATTTTAAGTTTTAAATAGCATTTATTCAGGGAAAAACATTAAAAATAAAAAAGTGGTTTTGTTATTGTTTGGAGAACCTTCAACTATTATTACCTGTACATCCCAAAAAAGTTGAATAAAATGTAACGTTTTTTTGTCAAATTTTATTTTTCTCTATTACAGTGACAAAACTTTTGCTGTTGTTGCTTCAGCGTTGGCCAGTGTTTAGCTACAACTCTGTTTTTAATGTATGCCTTTTTTGACAATAAACTAACAAAATGACTAAGAATGCTGTGCAGAAGTCTGTCACAACTCAGTTCTACTTTCATTTATTTTTGGTTCTTTGACCAAAGCAGTTATAAGTTTTGTTGTTTTCTACCTTTCGTTTTCTTTAACAGCAGTAGTTTAACTCTAACCTGACCCTCTCTGTTGGGATCAAAGGCATTAGGTGGAATTCAAACCACAATTGAACTATTGAAGAAATGGCGAGTGTCCAACCACCACCACACCTGCCTAGTGTTTTAACCACATTAACAATTTCAGCATAAGTTCGGGGGAATTTCCATATCACCACTGCCTGACAGCTGCTCTGTGGCCTCTTTACAGTTGCTGTCAGCAAATACTGACAGTGATGTGTTGGTCACTTGACTCACAGCCCCTGAATCAGTTTTTTTGTAAATGTCTGTGAAACACACAGGTGAAGTGGTTAGAAGTCATTTTAACCACAGTTTCTGTTGAAACATTACCTTCATTTTCGTGGCCATGTTTTGTTAAAATGTCACACTGAAAAAAAGAAATTGGTTTCTATTCAGGAAAAACAGTCAGAAATAACAGTAGATAATAGAAGAGTAAGATTATTTATTTATTTAATAAACTTTACTGACAATCCTTAACTGGTGATGTTTCTGCTATTTTACCAGGTTGGTCCATGAGCTGAGACTAGATCTGAATCTTCAATCTTTTATGTATTCTAGGATGTTTTTTTATACTCTATATATTCAACCTTTTTCAATATTAGTATAACAAAAATTCTTTTAATTTATTTAAGTGATTTTATTTAAAAAAATAGTTATTTTTATTTGTACTCATATTACTCAGTTATTTTCAATATACAATATACAATTGAGGGTGACAGAGATATAAAGGAACCGATTTCACACTGGAGAAAAGTCAGCACACAGTCAGAACATGCAAACTCCACAAAAGAACACGTTCTGTCTTGTATAAATACTGGGTAATACTATGGTGCAAGCAGCTGCTACAACTAATCTTTTAATTTTTTAAAAGGGCCAAATCCATTAAATTTTTAAAATTTTAAATTAAATTTCCAATGAAAGAGACACTCCTCACACACAAATTGATTCTTTGGTTTCAACTGTGGCTCTAAATCCAATAATTGTCATTATTGCCCCCTACTGGTCATATTTTCATTTTACACAGTGACATTAGAGAACAAATAAATCATTTTTGGATTTATGTTTTTTGTTTTAATGACAGTGCACCCTTCACCATTAAGTGATTTGAAACAGAGGACATTTGAAATTATTCACAATTAACAACTGACTTCAGACCTCGAGATTATCTCTTGCAGTTGGCCCGGACATTCATATACACTTTGTTAGCTGTGAAGAGAGACGAGAGAAAGGTGGGGAGAATTTGTCATCAAATCTGAAATGTGAAAACTCTGAAACATTAGTTTTTATATTTTATTTCAAAGTTTTTGCGTTACATTTTCAGATTAAAAAAGAAAATCCCACAAACATCAACCCCTCCTCTGCAACATTACCGTTTTCTATGTTCCGGTGTCGAATTCTGGCGAAGCGATAAGTAGCAACGACAATGATGATGGTCAGCACCACATCTGCTAAAACAATGCCTGCTATTGTCCAGGGCTCAATCCTGTAGCAAAATGCAGTATCTGCAATGCAAAGACAGACAAGACAGAAAAGGATGTTTGATGGAGAGGGAGAGGTGGATGACGTAAATGGAAAAAATGATGCAGAAGCAGCTTTTTATAGATATGTTTATGGGTTTGTTTGTTTGTTTTTTTTGCTGGTATTAATGATTATAAAGTTAAAAAATGTTCTTACCTGCCAGAGTCAAGTCTGTAAGAGATAAAGAAAAACAACAGTTTTGGTAAATGAAAAACAAAAAACATAACAGGGTTAGGAGTTTAAGCTGTGGTTAACAACAATAATAAGCGACACCTCTGTCAGTTTCCACCGTGCATAAGCAGCTCTGGTGGTTACATTTTCCTTTGTAGGTCCACCGCATTGCCTTGAGTGTGTGCAGCAAAAAGAGACAGAGAAACAAAAACAGGACGAAAATGTACTTACTGCACAGACAAAACAAGACAACAATCAAGTAGATGTTGTTTTCCATGGTACTCAGCAGGGCAATGTTGTTCCTGAACAATGGAGAAGAAACTTCACTGTCTGTAATCACACTTGAACACATTGACATTATTTCCATACACTGTATATAATGATCTGGCATAATTTTGATGTCTTGACATAGGATTTTCAAATGTCAAATTTAAATCCCTTTACTTTAAAAAAAAATCCTCAAGTCGTAAAAACGGAAAACGTAGAAAAATCTACGGCACAGAAAGCACAGTTTTAGTCACAAATGAATTATTATAATATTTTGTTTGGGTGTTTCGAACAAATAAAGCACATTTTTAGTCACAAATGAATATTTTGTTTGGGTGTTTCGAACAAAAGAGATAAAAAGGAGATTTAGCATCGGGTCGGTCATCTAACTCTTGCACTACAAATCAAAAATTTAAATCTAGAAAACTAGACAAACAAGAGAAATCCCTGTTAACACCGTACCTGTTCTGTCTGTGCTCTTCTGCTATCTGCGACTTAACGACAATGTGACACCCACTTCCTGTTAGCATCCACTTTAGGGGACTACATTCTGCGTTCCGTTTGCCACCTCGACTCACTCGTGAAGTTTCAGTTCAGCATCAGGCTGCAGCTGTACAGACATTTGTTGTACGTTGGCCAGTTTGTTTGTATATATTAATATTTAATATGATATACGTTTATCGATGCTTTTACGATTTTACAAAGCTACTTTTTCTGTGTTTTAACAATAACTGGTGGCTTCCCTATGTTTTGTTGAGATAAATATAGGTAAATAATAAATGCTATAAAATAATATTTTTATTTATTATTTTTTTGTAACTCAATCAGAATGAATGGTATTTAGATTTTAATTAAATGTAATTATGGTGTAAATCTCAGAGTATAAATAAGTCAAAATAAACGTAACGAACTAAAACTACATTTTCACCCATATTTATCTGTGCATTTTAATTCACAGCTCCAGTACAGCTATTATATTTAACAGTGAAAGACTTTCTCGAATCTAAACCCCGCCATCTGGTCAATTTTATGTCGTCATCTTTTAGTGAACGCAAAACAAACCATTCATTTTGGTTCGCTCTCGAGTTAAAACGGCTTTTGACTCTATCTAACGGCAGAGGGAGCTGTAGAGCTTTTCCTCGTTGCTAAACTTCCTTTCTTTCAGTTTCCCTTGAACGAACACTCTTTTCTCATGAAAACAGAGTTTAGGACAGTCACACTTTACTTGGTTATAAAGTAATTTTCCATAGAGTATATTTACAACACAACCACCAAGAGTCTGTACATGAAACTATTCATTGCAAATACACCGCAGGTTTAAAAATTCGATGAGAAGTTTTAAAAATAGACTTAATATAAAATAAACATACAGCTTTATTGTACAGTACGAGGCAGGGTTAGAAAATAACCTCAGCTCAGGCTTAACATCCACAGAATTCAAATCATTGTTGCACTTTAATGTCCCTTTAAAATATATAAATAATAATATGTATAATATATAAAATTAACATTAACTAAACATATGTGTTAAATGTTTGAAAAGGCTTCCGTATTCTTAAAATAAAAATAGGAAAATGACAAATTCTAAAGGAGTCACATAGCAACAAAGCCAGAAAGGTATCTAGAATTAAAAAAATATATATCCTGCACCATTTCTAAATACAATCTCAAAGTTTTAATAAACATGTTAAACTTAAACTTATTGAACTAACTTGAACGTTGTTCAAGTTAGTTCAAAGATTACTGATAGGTAAATTAGAAAGAGCAAAAGATCTTCATAAAAAACAACGGAGAACCAGTAACATCAGCAAAGGACAGAACTAAATTTTTAGCCACATTTAGTTTTTAACACATTTAGTTAACTCAAAGTTGTTTCTGAAATAAATATTTTTGACTACAGTATAGCAAAACAGACATGTTACTGTAATTAAGCCCTGAAATAAATACAGCAGGTGAAGGAAAAGACTAGAAAGGAAAGAAAAAGAAAATATGTTAACTTAAAGCTTACAGTTGATCAAATAATGTTTACAAAATATGCCAACATATAGAGGTAACATTTAGTAAAGTTGGAATCCTTGAAATGCTGTAGAAATATTTTTCATATGGGCACAGCAAACACTTTTCCCAAGAGTTTATTTTAACAAAACTCATAAAATAAAACCTGTCTTTGTGGTTGTTTTTGAAAAGTGATCTACGTCACAAGTTTCTTTTGTTCTTTCTTTGCATCATTTTCGCTTCTTCCTTTTTTGAAAAAAGAAAAAAAAAGTCACTTGACTATTAGACAAAAATGTCTGCTGCCCCTCCCCTTTCTGTTTCTATTTATAGACTAACATTTTTTAAAAAATCAAACACAAATGTCTTTACTATAAAACCTTATCAGTTGGGCATTTACAAAAGATTCAGGAAATCAGCTCCAGGTGTGGTTTTTGACCATGAAATACTAAGAATGACTTTAATGTTTTTCACCCAATAAAATGATTGTTGTCAAGTATACACTTTCACCAGTTCTGTGGACGTTAACATTCATCATTTCTATATCAGATCTTTGTGGAAACAAATAGACACTCAACAATTAGTCACGTGGTGAAAATATATTGATCACTGTTTTCCAGTCTCTTACCACTGATATGACGAAGAACTTCCTGTGAGGTTGAAACTAGGTATTTAAGAGAAAGGACACTTAATTTAGCCCAGAGTCTGAGGGAGAGTTTGAGAGAGTTTCCAAACAGAGCAGATCACAGTTCAAAACATATATGACAGATTTGACATTAGTCATATTTGTAAAAAAACATTTAGTTTTCAATCAATAGATAACAACCCCTAAACTTTACAGTTATGAAAAGCAGTTTGTTGTTTTAAATTAACTTGTGTTTTTTTAAACATGTATTATACTGTTGTGTCTTTTTACACAGACAGTAATTAAATGGCATCAATTAATTTTTTTATATTACATTACAAACAATCAAGGAATTTATGGAAACTGATAAAATGGCTGAAAGTTTGATATACTTGAACTGACCTAAGAATTTTAACTTTAAACACATAATCATTGTTAAGAAATGTTGCAAATTGTTGTATAATAGTATAATGTTTTATATAGAAGTACTGTGTAAAATTTGTTAACCACTACTGTACAGTAATGTTACATATATATAACCTATATACAGAAATGTCACACATATCTTCAAATGTCAAATACACATGTATGTTGTGAAATATTGAGAAATTGAAAATCTGACTGTTGCTAATCGAGAACTTTTGTCAGATTTCAGAGCTAAAATGGAAAACAAAGAGTACCACTAAGAGTTGAAATAAAAGATATAAACAAAATGTTTTTA